CAGCAGAACCCATTGTCTGATGTATGGCTTGTTCATCTCACTTCCACATGCTGCAGAAGGCTCTTAGCATAGGTGTCGACTTATGGTACATACTGTATATGCACATGATGTTAGGCATCAGGGGGCCACAGTTACATCTGGGGCTACACAGAGACTCATACGAACAGATGTAGTGCAAAACCAAACAAGTTTATACAAAGGTGATATGCCATGTATATGGCACTTTAACCCAAGGTGCCCTCAAAATGTATTTTTTCTTTCTTTCTTTCACTGAAACTTACTCAAAAAATTGAAAGATCCTGGCCTTCATTTCCAGTCTGAGCTGTTACTTGGTCATTGTTACAATAGGGAAAGAGGCATGAATACTAGGTTTCGGGATTCTTGGGTCTTGGAGCAAAACCATTTCGTAGGGCTCCTGTTCCTTACAAATATCTGGAAGCAAGCTCGCTGATACTTGCTGTGCAGAATCTGGATGAGGTACGAAAGGAGCTGCCAGTGACTCTGTGGAAGTTGCCTTTGCCAGAATCAATGTGTTCCCAGGAGGAAAAACGGAATAATGCAAAACGTCAGACAAGAGGGAAAGGAATTTGTAGGGATGAGTGGAGTGTGAATTGAATTGATCCCAGCACATAGTTTTCACTGTCTGTTGCATTGTGTTTTATGACCAAAACACAGCCACGTGATCTGAAGGAGTGCGTGAGTCACTGATGTATGATGCATGCTTGTCAAAAGTAATACTGTGTGTTCCAGAAAGCACATTAACATGAAAGAACTCTTTGCTCTCCTTTAAATTGCACGATATGTGAGAACTAAAATATAACCACAACAAACAGGTAGTCAAGTCTGCAACCAATCTTTCTCTTGTGAATGATGGCAAGCTGCAAGAACACAGTCTTCACTTTAATTTGAGGACTCAAATAGTAGAAATATTATGGCAATTTTACAGTTACAGTATCTGGAGAGAAGCCATCACATTAATCATTACCAAAATGCAAGGCAATGCCTTCTTTATTACTTTTGTGATGTTCGAGCATTTAAAACTGCAGCAGTGCCGATTTTTTTTGCATAACATTGTAGTTTAAGTGTTTGACTCAAACCAAATGTTCCTGATGAAAAGCCATTGACTGTAGATGCTTTAAGTGCCCTGTCACTAGATTTATGCTCTGTGTTCTATCCTCTTTAACAATAGATTGGGAATGTAGATTTAATCAGCATTGGTCGTTGGCAAAGATTGTGTAGTAAGCAAAGGTGCAGTCAGGATTTTCAACTTTGTTAAGTGAATCAGTTAAGTCTCAGTGTCGGATACGTCACAACTAAAGTTGACTTCAGAATTTTGACGTTGTGAACTTCAGGGCACATACTTTCTCACATGAACAATGTCCCTCTG